CAAGATTTGGGTGTTGTGGTGTTTGTTGATAATACGAAGCCTCAGGTTGGTGCATGCTATCGATAACCATCTCCTCATATCTATGATAATCACTAAAATCGTTATTAATGTGTTGAACTGTTTCAATATTCGAACTTGGACCCACGTGTTGAGGTGAAATTGGGTTTGAACATTGACCTATCTCTAGTGTTGGATATTTTTCTCCATGTAAATACCATTGTGTATAACCAATCATGAAGCCTCGGTTAACAAGATGGCTAAAAACTAATTCTCTCGGAAGGTAATAAATATTTTTGCATTTCGCACACGGACATCTAATTTCAAAAACTTCCACCCCTTCCCTAATGATATGTTGGATGTTTGTTGCGTTCGCATAAGCAAAATCCAAAAACAAATTAACATAATGTGGCTATTGTGGATTAAACAAACGACGATTATCGAGTCTCTTTGTGTACATCCATTCTCTATTAGACAACATTTCGATCTAAAACTACATTTAGATATAAAAAATGTTAAAACTTTAAACTAAACATGAAGTAATAGTGTAACATCTCATTTAATCTAATATATATATATATAACTAATGATACATAAAAAGCCCATAAAAATTATTAACATAATACACATACATAATACACATATATAACTAATGATACATATATAACATCCCATTTAATCAAACATTTTTAACAAATTTATAAAATTAGCCTAACATTTCAACAAAATTAACATTTTTAACAAATTAAAGTTTACAACATTTTTTATATATCACATTTCAACAAAATTAACATTTTTAACAAATTAAAGTTCACAACATTTTTTATATATCACATTTCAACAAAATTAACATTTTTAACAAATTAAATTTCACAACATTTTTTATATATCACATTTCAACAAAATTAAAATTTTTAACAAATTAAAGTTCACAACATTTTTTATATATCACATTTCAACAAAATTAACATTTTTAACAAATTGAAATTAACCATATATTCAACCAAGCTATGAAATTAACCAAATATTCAACCAAATTAAATCTAAATCCTTAAATTCGACATCACATTCAACAAAACTTATTAGCATTATCAATGAATAAAGCATCTAAATTGTATACATCAAGTAATTTCAAAAAAAAAAAAAAAAAAAAAAAAAAAAACACTAGGGTTTTACCTTTTAGGGAAGAATCGAGCAAAAGGCCGAGAGAGAGAAGGAACTGCGCCGGAGAAGAAAGCCGGCGACGGTAGCACAGCTCGGCGACGGCAACGGTGAGATCGGAGGAATCGCCGGCGATTGTTGGAACGAGAGGGGGGGGGGGGGCGGGGGGAGAAGTTTGGTTCTTTCTTTTCTGGATCTGTTCGCTGAACAGAAGGGGTGAAGGGGTGGGGGGGGAATTCGTGGGATATAAGGAAATAGAATGGATTTTAATTAAAAACAATAGCTACCGATTTGCTACGGACCAGCTTCGGAAGTTGCTACGGATTAGCTACGGACCGTTTTAGCGACGGTTTAGTTACCGATTAGCTACGGCCTGCAAAAAAAAAACGTGGGTGGGATTCGAACTCGGGTTTCCAACGTACAATACCACAAACTTACCAACCGGCCGGGCATGCCACATCCATACTAATATGCTTGCCTATTTTATTTAAACATCTTATTATTATTATTATTATTATTATTATTATTATTATTATTATTATTATTATTATTATTATTGTCGTGTGATGAATATAACAAGGAAATAAAGTGGATTTTAATTAAAAAAAATAGCTACCGATTTGCTACGGCACATGTTCGGAATCTGCTACGGCTTAGCTATGGACACGTTTAGCGACGGTTTAGCTACCGATTAGCTACGGCCTGCAAAAAAAAAACGTGGGTGGGATTCGAACTCGGGTTACCTACGTACAATACCACGAACTTACCAACCGGCTGAGCATGCCACATCCATACTAACATTTAAACATCTTCTTATTGTTATTCTTATTATTATTATTATTATTATTATTATTATTATTATTATTATTATTATTATTATTATTATTTCTATTATTATTATTATTATTATTATTATTATTATTATTATTATTATTTCTATTATTATTATTATTATTATTATTATTATTATTATTATTATTATTATTTCTATTATTATTATTATTATTATTATTATTATTATTATTATTATTTCCGTTAGAATTCCGTAGCTAGTCCGTAGCTAATTAGCTACGGATTAGCTACGGATAATTCTTATTTTCGACATTTCGGGCACCAAAAGTCGTTTTTTCCGCTTCGTTTTTTTCACACCTCTATTATACATGATTATCTATATTTTCTAAAACTTTTAGCTATTAATGTCATTCATAAAGTCGTGTGCCCATACGGGATCCATTACACGTTTAATGGTTTTAAACTCTAATGCTTATCATCTACGTTCACATATAAATACTCACAAAAACGTATACATACACATATACACATACATATATACCACAACTCATTCATGTCTACAAACATAAATCCATCACAAGTTGGTGAAAAATATAGTCATTATATTGTTAAATCATTAAACGAGTACTTATTAAACGAGTACTTGATCCCGAAGGTGCGCAAGACTTTATGAATGATATTAATAGCTAAAAGTTGGTGAAACTAGATATAATCATGTATAATAGAGGTGTGAAAAAAACGAAGCGGAAAAAACGACATTTGGTGCCCGAAAAACTGAAAATAAGAATTATTCGTAGCTAATCCGTAGCGAATTAGCTACGGACTAGCTACGGATTTCTAACGGAAAGCACATTCCTTAGCTAATCCGTAGGTAATTACCTACGGATTAGCTACGGAATGTGCTTTCCGTTAGAAAGCCGTAGCTAGTCCGTAGCTAATTCGCTACGGATTAGAAACGTCGTTTTTTCCGCTTCGTTTTTTTCACACCTCTATTATACATGATTATCTCTATTTTCACCAATTTATAGCTATTAATATCATTCATAAAGTTGTGTGCACATATGAGATCCATTACTCGTTTAATGGTTTAACACGCTTATGATCTACGTTCACATATAAATACGCACAAACACGTATACACATACACGTACACATATACCACAACTCTTTCATGTATGTAAATATACATATACAAAAATAAATTCATCACAATTTGGTGAAAAGTATAATTACATTGTTAAAACTATGAAACGAATACTTGATCACGAAGGTCCACACGACTTTATGAATGCTATTAATATCTATAAGTTGGTGAAAGTATAGATAATGATGTATAGTAGAAGTGTAAAAAAAACGAAGCGAAAAAAACGACGTTTGGTGCCCAAAAAATAGAAAATAAAAAAAATCCGTAGCTAATCCGTAGCTAATTAGCTACGGAGTTGCTACGGATTTTATTATTTTTGATTTTTCGGGCATTAAACATCGTTTTTTTCTCTTCGTTTTTTTCCCACCTCTATTATACACGATTATCTTTAGTTTCAACAACTTATAGTCATTAATAGTGTTGATATAGTCGTTTGCACCTTCGAGATCCTTTATTCATTTAATGGTTTAATATTATATGCGTAGCTATTCCGTAGCCATTTTGTAGCTAAGTAGCTACGGAATAGCTACAGGTTAACATCCGTAACTATTCCGTAGCTATTCCGAAGCTAATTAGCTACAGAATGGCTACGGAGTGGAATCCGTAGTGATGCCGTAGCTATCCCGTAGCTAATTAGCTACGGAATACCTACGGAATTGAATCCGTAGTTATGCCGTAGCTATTCCGTTACTAAATTAGGGCGTCCATTTCTGTAGCTAATCCGTAGCCATTCCGTAGCTAATTAGCTACGGAATTTTTCCGTAGCTATTATCCGTAGGAAAACACTTTTTTTCTAGTAGTGTTAGAACCTTGATTGAATGGATCAATTAGAAATGTCTATTTGTATTCAATGGATTAAACTCACCAATACTAAGATGATAAGTTCATATTAAATGGATTTGGAATTCAATAGCATTGAATTATTTATTAGGAAAAAACTAAAATAAATTATAAAATGTGTTTTATTGAACTATTGTAATATTCAATTTTTTAACGGTACACATACCCTCTAAATCATATTCCTACATTACTCCTTTTGTAGACGAACGGAACTTGACATCAACCTTGTAAGGGAAAGATACCACTTGGTTAAAAACTCTTGATTTTATAGAGTTCAATGTATTGTTGATAATTAAATGGTAAAATTGTTAGAAAGATAAAATGTTGTAGACAATATTAACCTTATAGAATTTAATGTATTGTAGATGTCTAATACAAAATAAATGAAGCATGATCTTTTAGTTTATGTTTATTAACCAAGATCACAAAAGGTGAGCGATCATTTCAAGCCTTTTAACATATCATAATTTATTAGTTGGATAAAGCCAAATTCCAAAATCAAAATATTCTTCTTAGGTATAATCAAGCAAGGGACGAATTGAGCAAAAACAAGAGGCCAGACAAAAAAAAATTAAGAAAGAAAAGAAAAGTCAAAATCCGTCCATAAGCTGGATAACAATTATAAATCCCAAAGTCAAACAATGTTCCTAACAAAAGCACAAAAATTAGTATATTTGGTTGACAACTACAATCTCATGTAACCTTTAGTTTAAAAGATAGCTAGCTAAATGAACTAGCGTCAAAAAATGGCGTTTCGGCCAAGGAACTTAGCTGTCAAACTCGCATGATTTTGCCTAAGTACGTACGACTTGGTTGGTTTTTCCTGCCATTTTATCATCAGCTAGATTACAAAAGAAAACACTTTAAAAAGCACATTTCTACTATTATAGATTGCCTCACACATATTTACGGATTCCTCTTCAATCACAAATTGTAAAAGTCAAAGCAACAGTAATACATGGCTTTATCACCTGAGAAAACACTTATTCTTTCTTCCCTTCTACTTTTACTCATGTGGGTATCTCAAGTTACATCACTAACTCTAAGTGATGCAAATATATCAGAAATGCACGAGCTCTGGATGACTCGATATGGCCGTGTATACAACGATAATGCAGAGAAAGAAATGCGTCGCAACATATTCAAGGAGAATCTGGAATTCATAGAATCGTTCAACTCTTTAAGAAATCGTTCTTTCAGGCTGAGCATTAACAAATTTGCAGACCAAACAAATGACGAGTTCAAGGCATCTCTTAATGGGCACAAATCGTCACACAATCTGAAATCATCTCAAGTAACATCCGTTAGGCATGAAGATATTGTGACAGTGCCAGATAGCTTAGACTGGAGGAAGAATGGAGCTGTTACCGATGTCAAGGATCAAGGCACATGTGGTACGTTGACAAAAAAAATCATCGATCAACTTGAAAAAGAAAAACACTAAAATCTTATCCGGTTTCCATTTTACTCACTCAAGTAATTTTCATGGCAATAGGAAGTTGTTGGGCATTTTCAGCAGTTGCTGCAATGGAAGGAATCATTCAAATAAGAACAGGCAAACTGATTTCGTTATCTGAGCAAGAGCTTGTTGATTGTAACAGGGATGCTTACAGTATCGGATGTTCAGGAGGAAATAAGGAAGACGCCTTCAAATATGTTGTCAAGAGCAAAGGGATCAACACCGAAGATGGTTACCCTTATGAAGGAGTAGATGAATCTTGCAACATTACTAAAGAGGCTGTTGGAGCAACTCGCATCACTGGTTATGAGATGCTACCAGCCAACAATGAAGAGGCGCTGCTGAATGCTCTAACCAAACAACCAGTAGCAGTTTCCATAGATGCAGGTAGTATGGCATTTCAGCTCTACTCAGATGGTGTTTTTACAGGAGAATGTGGAAGGGATCTAAACCATGATGTGATAGTGGTCGGATATGGCACAAATGCTGATGGCATGAAGTATTGGTTGGTGAAGAACTCATGGGGTCCCTTTTGGGGTGATGATGGATATATAATGATAGAACGGGATGTCGGAAACAAAGAAGGAATGTGTGGAATTGCTATGGAATCGTCGTATCCAACGCTTAAAAGCGGAGCTGATTCAAATTTAAAGACTTCTATACTTTTTGTGTTTCTTCTTGTATCATTTGTGAATTCATTTGTCCCACTTTAATTGTAAGATTGAATATTTTGGTGTATATTATCATTAATAAAGTTATTGTCATGATTGTGATATAAATGCAGTAATGAAATTCTTGTGATGATTTTGAGTTAGATTTTTTTTGTGGAAAGGCAACTTTATAAATACTAGCAAAATGTTAGAAAAGACCATGATGTCCATGACAAACGTAGAGACAAGACAAGACTAGACAAAAGTCCGAAGAGGGTTACAAATCCAATTGATCCAAGAAAAATCAATTTCCTTACATCTAGCCTTACGCCAGATTGTGGTATAGAAATTAGATGGAATATATTGTTGTAAGTGTGAAAGTAGATAACATTATAGAAATTAGATGGAATATATTGTTGTAAGTGTGAAAGTAGATAACATAGGTGATGTATAATTAAGTGATGCTGGCATCAATTATATTAAGGACTAGCTAAAAATAAACAACCAAAAGAGCTACATTAAATTTGAAAAAAAAAAATGGAATACAACACCAATCAGTCAATTAAAAGCTTGAAAGTTTTGGCGCATGCTTAATCCAAAGAAAAGAGTAAAGTTTGAATTCCGTCATGAAGTTGAATTTTGTTGAATCCATTTGTGGCTTCAACTTCACTTTCGTCACCAACTTGGCAAACATATATGTTGTATTCTTCATACCAATGATTTTTCTTCAAATTCAGAGTCTCGTCACTTATCAGTTCTCCAATAAAATAGTACATCATATGAACGTGTTTCGTCCTACTATGAAACAATGGATTCTTTACCAAGTGCATTGTACATTGTTACAATGTAGTACACAATCTTCATGTTGCATCCCCAACTCTGATGTTAAGTTCTTAAATCGTATAATCTTTTTTCTTGCTTTTGTAATGGCCATATATTCTGCTGTAATGGTTGAAAATGCAACATTCTTCTATAACTTGAACATCCAACTGATTGTTGTACCCCTAACTGTAAACAAATAACCTATTGTGCTCTTTCATGAATCCATACACCCCATATCAACATAAAAAAAAATATAAAAAAATAAAAAAAATAAAAAAATAAAAAAACCTTCCAATACCACCTTCTTTCTTCTGAAACATAAGGTTGTGAATAGGTTCCTTTCAAATAGCGTAACAACCACTTTAGTTCTTCCCATGCTTCTTAAATATTTTAGACATAAATCTACTTACATCTCCCACTACATGAGCATATGTGGCCTAGTGCATACCATAAAATACAATAATTTGTCAATTGCTAAAGCATATGGAACCTTATCCATTTTTTATTTGTCTTCTTTTGTCTTCGTTGATTGCTTCTTTGAGAGTCTTAAGTGGCTCCCCAAAGGTCTACTTCTTGTTTTAGCATTTTTCATGGTAAAATTTCCAAGAACTTTCTTGATATACTTTCCTTGGAAAAGTTTCAAATTATCAATGGATATGTCTCTTGCTATGCCCATGCCTGATATCCTTTTAGCATACCATGGGTCTTTCATCTCAAACTCTCCACAAAACTGCTTTTTAATTTGTTGATCTCTTACATATATGATGAAGCAATTAGCATGTTGTCAACTTATAACAAAATGATGATGTATGAGGATCCAAAATTCTTTAGGTGGAAAAAATGATTCATCTCATATTTCTTGTATCCGTTCTTCTGTATGAAGTTATTAAACTTTAAGTACCAATGTCATGGATCTTTCTTCAACTCATATAAACTTTTTCCAATTTACACACCATATTTTCCTTGCTAATTATGGGAAATCCCTATAGATGTGTCGTGAAGATGTCTTCTTCGAGGTGACCATGTAGAAAAGTTGTTTTCATATCTAGGATCTACTATATGCAAGACCAATATGATAGTAGTTATCTATACAACTAGAGAGAATACCTCATTATAGCCAACTCTTTTTCCTATTAGAATCCTTTAACTACCAATCAAGCTTTGTACCTCTTCTCATTTATCTCATCTTTGACCCAAAACACCTACTTATTCTATAGTGCTTTCTTTTTTGTTGGTAACTTGCCCAAGAACCAAGTCTAGTTCTTGTCAAAAGAACTAACCTAATCTTATACAGCACTTTTCCATTGTATGGGGTCTTTTATCCTTAAGTCCTATGGTCATCATTAAGGTTTATCATTCTCTATAACAAGTAGTTCAATGAAGGGGAATATCTTACTAGAGTTCTTCTATCTCTAGTGGATCTTCAAATAAAAGTAGATTAGTCTCTTCCTTATTTTTTAACTTCATCCTCTTAACTCCCAATATATTTAGGTTCATCTGAGCTCTCACTACTTCATGAACTTTCCCATGTCTCATAAGTACTGATAAGTTTTGCAATGTCTTCATCTTATATTTTATCGAATTTAATATATTTTTTTCTTTTCTAGTTGATTTTATATGTTAGGGTGTTCTACAATCCCATTCTTATATATGACATTCTCGTTATTCTCGTTGAACATTACATCCTAGTTTTTGATAATCCTTTTATTTAGCTCATCCAAAAACGATAACATGTGTCATCTAACTCATAGCCTACAAAGGTGCATTTCCTTACCTTTTCCTCAAGTTTGTTTCTTTCTAAGTCCTTGATCTTGACATATGAGATACAACAAAAAAAAAGTGTATGAGTAAAATCTCCTAACTTTATCACTCCTCTTCCAAAAAATTTAACCTTATCTGGATCGAGCAACCTCTATCTATTAATTATGATGTTATGCTGACTGAATTTGCATCTTGGGTTGTCATTCATGTAGTCCCATGTTCATTTTCCTCCCGTTCACTGTATTGTGCATCCTATCATCTACTCTATTTTGTTGGGGTATCTCTAAGATTGTGTTCAACATTCTAATCTCATGTTCAACATAGTAATCAATGACTTATTTACTATTGTATTTTCCCTATTATCTTACTTGAAACACCTAATCTTCATATTTGTTACATTTTTGTTGAATTCTTTATATTTGTTCTTCTAGAAAGAAACCTAAACTTTCCTTTTGTAATCATCAATTAAAGGAGCATAGTATCGAGAGACTCCCACTAAAGAAACTAAAGTGGGGCCATATACGATTGAATGAACTAACTCTAACTTCCTATATTAGGGTGGTTGGCCCATCTTGGCAAAGGTAACTTTCTTTTGTTTGCTAAGGACACATGCTTCATAAAAGTAACCTATCATGCTCTTCAACTCTATAATCTTCCCTTTACATGCTAACATCTTCATTCCCTTGTCACTCATATGCCCAACTCATTGTTTCTATAAAGTGGATGTACCTATTTCTTCTATTGCAAAATTTGATTCATTTTCATAAACATCCACCATATAAAGTGTACCTCATTTTAGCCCTTTTGTAACAACTAGGTTCCCATTTCTCTCCTTCCATTCATGATCACTAAAAGTGACATGGTAACACTCATCATCAAGTTTCCGACTGATATCAATATACTTTTTAGATTCATAATGTACTCGATGCTCTTTAAAGTCTAATTATTTCTAAAGTAGTCTTGAGGAAAATATACACAACACCTGTGATAGCTAGGACTAGGGGTGGCAACTCTCGACCCAACCCGTAACCCGACACTGACCCAACCCGAAAATAGACGGGTTTGGGTTGAGATTTTTGACTCGTTAACCTGCGAACCCACCAGCCCGTTTATTTCATGGGTTGGGTTGGGTTATCTGTTTGGGTTTGCGGGTCAACCCGCCAACCCGTATATATATATATATATATATATATATATATATATATATATATATATATATATATATATATATATTACTTTTTAAAAAACGATATATATTTAATTATTAATGAAATTTGATTTCCATCCGTATTTGTAATATTTTGTATCATTGTATTCCTTTCGTATTCGTATGTAACTAATCTGCGTTTGCGGTTCGTTAATCAAAAAAGAAAAAATACATGTCGTTATTTTTAGATACTCACGAATCACGAATAAAGAACACATCCACTTTCTATGAATGTTTTTCTTTTTCATTTTTATTTGGATGTTATTGACTTTATGAATTTATTTTAATTACTTTAATCATTTTATGAATTTATGTTGAAAAAATATCACTTTTTAAAATGTGTGGCTTAATTATTAAATGGGTTATATGGGTTGGGTTTGACCCTTTAACTTGTGAACCCGCGGACCCATATACTTAAACGAGTTATATGGGTTAGGTTGGGTTGAGGTTTCCAACCCACCAACTCGTGACCCTCCAACCCATCAACCCATATATTATATGGGTTGGGTTGAGTTTATGTTTTCTAACCTGTCAACCCGCCAACCCGTGAACCGTCAACTATAACGCCCGTAGATTCGGGCTAGTCAAATTAGAGACGATAAGCATCAAAAATGAATTTTAAATTGAATATTATTTATAATGATTAATCTTAACCAAGTTGTAGTATATGTCACAAGGTTTCCGTGCATATAAAGAACACAAAAATCGGAGTTATAACGAAGAAGTTATGACGTGACGAAGTTTCGCGACAGAACCGACCCAGCGCGACCCAACGCGACGTAAATAGTGAATTTAAGGTAGATATATATCTATCCTTAGTGATCTAAACGAGATTCGAAGCTTTCTTCGATAGTAGTCCAACGATAAAAAGACAGATGAAAACGGAGTTCAGATGAAGGAATTATGAATTTCGAACGGAGTTTTCCTGTCCCGGCTTACTAAAGATAACATATAAGTAATATACTTATAATATATTATAAATAAAGTCAAAATTAGCCAATGGAGTCTAAATGAGAGTTGTAGAGCATAATCTTACCTTCGCGTCGATATAAAGAACATTGAAAACGGAGTTCGTATGCGAAAGTTATGAATTTCTGAAGTTCGGGGCGTGAACCCCAAAGCTGTGTCAGAGACCACGACGTGGCAAGCAGTGCCACGATCTGGCAGGTCTTCTGACACCTCCGGGATTCCCCCAGATGCAACTTGAGATGACGCATGCAGTGACGACCAAGCCCACGACGTGGCAAAAGGTGTCACGACGTGGCAAGGGCCA